TCCCAGAGCATGCTGCTTGGAGTACGCATCGATGTCAGCGAATATCAGTTGCTCTCATGAGCAATCGGTAATACCCATCGACCAAGTCGAGTGCACTGCACTTTGTACAACCAACCATATTGTTTTGAAGAACTACTTGGGGATCGGCGTCTGTGCCGGAATAATGGCAGCGTTTAGCTCATTGAACGCGCGAACGATACGCCGCTTGCCGGGAACCAGATCGATCTCATGACGCACACCTCGGTCCGGAGGTAGGACCGACGGCTTGGTTTTCGGGACGACATCTGGAATTTTCTTAACCAAAGGATAGTACAGATTCGAGAGATCTTTAGGATCGAATACCACTTCATGCATTCAGCACCCTCTTGTTGGCCTTTAGAACAGCTTCATCCAGAGGCAACGACGACTTGATCTCCTCGTCCTGTCGTATAGTGACCGCTACGGCTAAGCCCCTGACTGCCGAACTCTTCGACGGACATTTTGTCCAGCTCAAGAAGAGCATCTACCACAAGAATAGGCTCAATAGACGTCACCGTCTCCCCTACGTCATACCGTTGACGTGGGTGTATTGCTGTACGCTATCGTCTACGGTAGGCATACCCTGGGTCAGGGTCGACGCCCGTCGCCTTTCAGATTACATACGGCGTCGCTGTTGCCTCTACACAGAGGTTTTACGTCTCAACGAGACCAGTGGGAACAGCCGTCCAGTGCTTGCCCCGCTTCCTGCTCCACCGGAGTCCTGATGTTATTAACAACATCCGACGAAGAGCTGCTATTTCAGCAGTCGTCGACCAATGTATAGCGTGTCATCACTAGAGCCTCGCCCAAGATGCTTCGGACCTCGTCCGACCATGCCACTCTTGGCATTCACCAATTACTTTGAAACTTGAGCAGTGCTCAGTGAAAACGTAACACTTCACGTGCATCATGGGAGCCTCGCCCTCGGTGCCTCGTCTCTTGACCAACCATGCCATGCATGGTATGCAGCGACTACTCCAATACTTGAGCAGCGCTCAGTGGGCTACGTTCAGTCCGCAAGCCACGCTCGAAACGCCAGTCCAATACACCTTTTGTGTTCGACAACTCCGATACCCCGATCTCTAGCACGTTGGCAGTCCCGGTGCTGTGCCCGCGTCAATAGCACTTCTGCTTCCTAGCAGATTGACCATGCCCACCAAAGCTTCGCCAGGAGACGGCACGTGGTGCCCAAGGTCTTCGACCTCCAATCGATCCATGGCTTATGATGTTTCAAACATGCCATACCAAGGATGAGGTCATACCTTGAATCCAAGTCTAAGACTGAACCGCGTTCCACGCCATCAAAGTAAAGGAACTTTACACCGAGGTCCACAGGGAACCTCGGCACAGTGACACAAGTCCCCGTCGCTAAGCAAACAGTGACGGTGTCAACTCAACCGCGCTTCAGCGCCTCAGCATATAGCTGACTTCCTTCATTTGTGAAGCTTCAAGCATAATTGCCCGACGCCCCGGAATGGATAAGTATTTCCCATGGCTTTTCAACGCCCTTCATGGTCGCTTTTTTTTACCAACAAGCCCGGCTTGCATACAGATTCCGTGTCTATGAGCACGGAGCTCTTCGGGTCTGGGCCCTATCTCTTTGAGGCTCAACAGTATTCAATTATTTTGTAGTAGGGAGCCCCGACCTACTATGTGTTTTCGTTTCCCCGCGACAAACCAGACTGGTGAGAAGTGAAACATAGGTTCGATGAATCTTGACGATCCTTGCGCAGGAGACAACCAATCCGAAGGTGACGGATGACTCCAGAGCCAAAACACCGTCAGGTGCTCGAACGCTGCCCGGCTTCTCGACCCTGCCCCTTCCTTCTCAGCATAGCTGGGATCCATTGGTTCAGGCCCGCTCAACGAGCTAAGAGGTTCGCATCCCAAATAAGCCGTGCTGACTTGAATTTGAACTCGGCATTCACACCACATTCGCCGCGTAGACGGATGCATACGGAAGACTTTCACTCTTGCCACGCCTGTCTTTGGGAATGGTGTTGTTTAAATATACCCAGCTGCGGATGCCCGCCATAAAGACGGATATTGTGGCCGCCTCTGGTAGGGGAACTGTTGCCATTCCAGCAATGTGAGTGCACAACGCTTGGACAAAATCCACCAATTCTTTCTTGTCCTGCCGGGCGGCAATGAAACGCGATCACACGCGATATGCCTGGTTAGGTGGCAAGAACACTCGTAAAAGCTGCAGTTTCAGCTTCGTCCAGGAGGAAAACGCCGTTTTCGCCGTAGTGTCGCACGTCAGCGCCAATTCTTGCGCTCGACTCCCGAGCAAAGAGATAGCTGGCGTTACGCTTTGTCGCTCGTTCTGAAGAATGGCAGATACCATAGCCATCTCGGTTTCTCAGCCGGAGATTATCTCAATCTTTACCCTCAAAGTCTTATCGCTCACCATGAGTGGCCTGGACTAAGGGGAGTCATTCGTCGTCGACGGTGGCGTCATGGACGCAGTCGACGCCGACATCTTTTTGCTGTAGGTTCTCTAGCAGAGCATTTGTTGCATAGCTCGAGCACGCCTCTAGGCGCGCACTTATCGCTTCAGGTCCCTGCGAAAAAAGGTGTTGCACGCTCTCAGGCCAAGCAGGGACATCAGCCTTTCAATCCCGTCCTGTATGCCCTGAGGCAAATAGAAGAATTGCACCACCCTCACAGCAACTCAAGCGTAGAAAGACTGCGAGTGTTACCAAGTGCAGCGGGGCTGCCGTAGATCTTTACCTGAAGGAAACTTACTAAGATCACCGACCTTACGTTCTATTCTCGAACCAGTATGAGCGTAGCAGATCGCAATTCGCTACCTCCAAGAGAACGCTGAACCTTAACCCAAGGCCAAGGCAAATGCACTCTTCCGCTCAAAATCCAAACTGTATTTCGTTTGTTTTATTTGCGGCAGAACTGCCGAATTCTCAATTCTTACGCCTTCTTAATTAAATAGTAAATCCTGATTTAAATGGATAACTACTGCCAATCCCGCTTCTTGTTAAGGTATAGCCACACAATTACCATATTCTGTGACCCAACCAGTCATTGTAACTCGGGTCAGTCGTGACGACTCAGGTGTAGATTATCTTCAAGTGCCACCGAGTGCAGCGGGGCTGCCGTAGCTCTTTCGTTTACAGGAAGCTAAATTTAGGTCGGTGACCTTCGATCTACTTAGAACCAGTACGAGTGTAGCGAATCGCGATCCGCTTACTCCAAGATGTAACCACAATTTAACCCAAGGCAAATATACTCTTCCGTTTGAAATGCTAACTGTATTTTGTGACTTTTTTTGCGGCAAAGCCGCCTATATCTAAATGTATACGTATTCCTATCTGTATAGTAAAAACCTTTTTAAAATGCATAACTACTGGCTGTCCAGCCACGCACTGACTTCTTTTTAAGGTGCATTCACACCATTGTGTGATCACACCGTCTTGTTAACCCACACCCTTGTCGATTCACACCATTTTGTGTGACTCACCCCTTTATACCAGGGTACCTGTAACTACGTTTCGCAAATCCCAGTGTGGTTCACATCTTAGTCAGGGCGAGTGTAAAGGCACCTTGTGTAAACCCCTACACGGTTGGTACAATTGTATTGAATGAATTACAGCACAATCGTGCGAAATATACATTGCATTTTGTGTATTTGTGAGTATTCATTCATCAGTATACAAATTTCAGTATTACTGAATCCCGATCGAAGTTCTGCACATCAGAAAATAGTACAGTCTCATTCTAAGAAAAAATGAATCGTTCATCTCTAGTATCAGGTAAAAAATGTCTAATTACAAAATGTGTACACAGGTTTTTGGCTTCCTATTCTATGTGCATTTTGTGGACTCGGACTCTGACAGTCATATATCTCTATATAAAGGCACGGTAGCATTGCATTCTTCTAGCATATTTAGCAAAGAGCAACTTTAAGTTTTTTAGAAAAATGTTAGAGAAAATACTATTTGCGATATCTCCATCGATAATGCGTCGATTTATAGGAATTGAGGAGACGCACAAATGACACTCCAGACAGGTTTCAGACTTTCTCACACCGTCTCAGGAGAGTGTCTTGAGCGTTATAGTTTCGATAGCCGGCAATGGGAAATGGGGCTACTTCGTATGTCAGCCATCAGCATCGGATCCATGCTGCATCGTTTCTAGCAACATTCTCTGATAGATGTACGTGGTCCAGCTGATTGACATGCATTAAATGCTTGTCTTTTCATATAATTTAGGACTGCCACTGAGCCATCGAGATCTCCACCAGATTAGCATCGGCAATTATCGTACTTAAAATCTCAAAATTGGTGGTGGTTGTTACCATCATGGGTTGATTATCGAGCTATTATTTTTTTCATCATACTTTCGCTTACCCTTGTCTTTGTGAGCAAGAAAGTAGGGGGCACCATTGAGCCTGTCAAACTATCCAACTTGACATGATTAGAATTCTACATCACCTTTATAACAATGTTAATATATCGTTCGTAAATATAGGTAAGCTCCTATAACTTATAGTGTAAAGTAACTAACCGCTTACTATGATATACACTGTCTATCGTGCTAAGCTTTATCATTGCTGCTTTGGCCACAACACACCCAGAATTAAGTTGTACTTGCCAACTTGGCTTTCGACTTCAAATCTCGTGCATGCTTTGCGAATCTGCTCAACTAGCACAGTCGTAAGCTTCCTAGATTGCTTTAAGTACAGTAGATCCAAGAAAAAGAAGTTATTATTCAATCTAAGGCTTGCCAGCTGGAATTTGATCTGGGTATATTGACAGCTGGTTGTCGTACGTACAAATCTGGAAGCTATGCACAATCTCCTCTAATCCAATTGGCTGGCTTCTGATCACTACGATACGCTTATTATTTTTCCCTCTCAAAAATATTAACATACGGTATTTTATAGCTGCCTCTCCCGGATTATAATTTAGTGTTCTGCAGCCATATCGTCAGTTGCTAGATTCTGTCTAAGCCTCTCAACCCTGATGCTCGCTGCTCTTACCTTCTTGCTCACGTCTCATGCCTTTGCAGCGGCAAGCGATGTCATGACCATCGGCATGACAGGCAGTTGGAGTCCGGCGGAAATAACTTCAAACGCGACAGATCTGCTGACGACCGCGCTCAAAGGCGATAGGTATGACAGCTCAGTGGGCGAAAAACGAGTGTGCTACACGGAAGTGACGTCGCTGGAGACGCAGGTGGTTGCTGGCACCAATTACCGCTTTCACATGGATGGATGCGAAGTCACGAATTCAGAAGGAGTGTGCTCGGAGTCAACTCTTACGTCCTGTGATCCGTCTGGCTTTGTGGTGCAGATCTTTGAGCAGACGTGGACCTCCACGTTGAAGGTCACGTGTATCAAGCCGGAGGAATCATCGGATTTCTCGTCACTGGCAAAAGGCCAAGATTCGTTGTCGAAACAAAGTACGTAAGCAGGCTACATGTCTGGCTTTATGTGGGGGAGAGATAAGATGTAGTCATAACAACAAATTTCATTATCTTCTAAATTCAATATTGTTTTTATAAAGTAGAAATGTCGGAGGAAGAGAAAAAGGCGATAGAGGCATGGATCCTTGCTAATGGTCTGAATAAATACGGAGATGCAGCCACGAGGATCTATTTAGGAGGAACCCCTTTGTTTGACGAAAAGACAGGTGCTACGAAAGATCGTTATGACTACATTCTGAGCAAACATCCCGACCGTCCTTGGCAGACAACTGGGGTGAAGGCCAACCTTTTGGCGATTGATAAAACGGAAGAAACCGTGGATGCGACGAACGGTCAGAGTTCTGTTTCCGGGGTTATCTCTGTTCTAAGTGTATTCACAGTGATGCTGATTGGTGTGGCTATAATGAAGATGAGACAAGGTAAACGTGACCGTTTTGGATACAGTCCCATTCGTTCCCGTGAGCACTAGAAGGATACGAAACGACTACAAGACATAAGAGAGAAGTTGGGAATTGGTTACGTATGGTCGATGTACACACGTAGCGATCAAATATGATGTATACACGCAATTGTGTGTGTGTGTCAGTAAAAAGGTGGGTAAGATTGACACCCTGCGGTCGAATATCTGTCGCTAGCTACAAGTAATATGATTAAATTGTCGTTTTGAATTATGTCATTGTTAGAAACGTAGGTAAAGCTGAGGTTAAGCAAAATTACGCTCACTATAGCAGTATGTACTATGTGTGTGTGTGATGATTTTAACTATAATTCGTAGGTCGATCATAATACAAATAATTGTCCTTATGCCTCTTCACAGTAACTGTTTCAATGATGTGAAGTACAACATCCACATTAATCAAAATACAATAAGTGTGCGACTGTCGGTACCAGCAGGATGAGTGGAAACCAATGCTTAAGCCATTTGGTAACACATATCCATTTTAATTATCAAAAGGCTTCAGGGTGCAATTTTCAGAAGCACGAGGAAGGTAAGCGTCATTGAGCCTTATTTTGGTGCGTACACTTTACACCAGGGTCACTGTTATCAGAACTACCAAAGTATACTCCTATGAAGTTTAAACTACAGGTTTGGATGAGGGGGATGGGACTTTCCCAAGGTGAATTTTATGGGCTGGTAGCGTCATGTTATACACTACACAGGGCTTCATTAATGGTAGACCATAAGTATTTGTACTATTGTGAGCTTGATGTTGTACATTCGTACGGAACGTTGATGAGACGGTCCGTGGTACACTAGAAATGATA